ATTGCTCTGATTTCTCAGAGAATGGCTCACACATCCCTCACACCTTTGGCTACTGCCTCTTACTCTATGGGCATATTGAACTAACACTTACGGGTGTTGGTTTTCTTTAACTTTTTGGAGTCCGGAGGTTTGTTCACTCCAGGGACTTTTCTACCCCTGCGAAGGCCAGCCAGGAGAGTGAGGAGTGACTGCCAGCCCTGCCCTGCCTTGCATGGACAGTCAGACCTGTCTGGAAGAGTGTGGGGTAGCTGACTACAGATGGCCCAGGGCTGCTGGGCACATCTGCTTTTAGCCACCGTTATTGGCTGCCTGTGTGACTCAGGTTTTCTCATGTGATGATAAGCTGGGGACAGTCAGTCTCTCCATTGTTCAGTGACCACTGGATGTTTCTTGTGCCAGAGTACCAGAGGAAGCAAAGCAGAAGAAAACCCCTGCCTCAGAGCCAAGCATCTCAGAGTAGGTGTTAACATTGATGTCTGCTGTGCATAAGACAAAAATCCAGCAGGGAAGTGCATGTTGAGGAATGGGGAGCGCTGGGGGCAGTGAGCGCAAAGGCCCCCATGCAGGGGCCCTCCTTAGCAATCTGAGAGGAGTGGGGTGAGCAGTGAGAAAGGACTCTGAGGGAGCCCTTAGGCCTTCATCATTGTAGAAACATCTTTTCCATACTGCCCTTCTCAGGGGTCAGTGGGTCGAGCACTTCCAGTCCATTGCTTTCTAGTTCTAGTGACTTCATTGAAAGCTGGGATTGATTATTTCATTTTATCAGGGAGGAGCCGGGGCCAATCGGGATGTCCGGACTGGAAATGTCACAGGGAAATGGCAGAGCAAGGATCTGGTCCTGCAGGCTGAAAGAGAAGCTTAGGCTTCTAGTGTGTCCAGAGCTGAGCTTCTCACCCCTTTTGTCAAGAGGGTGACAAGTGGCACTTTGCCAGAAAACGGAGTGGGCACAGTGAGGACCGGAGCTGCCTGTTCTCCTCCCTGTGGGCCCTGCTGGAACCGTTGAGGAGCTGTAGCCCTGGGGCAGCTTCCTCAGCCTTCCTGGGCTCCCTGCCCTCCACATCCTCTAGCAGGAGATGCCAGCTGGGAAGCCTAGTATGCTTTTCGTGTAGACTTCTTGGGCATGTTGTGATGTTGAGAGTTAGCCGTGTATGCAACAGGAAGCTCAGGAGAGTCCAACATGCCTCTGGCTCTTGTTGGGGTTGGATGGCCCCTTTCTGTCCAGCCCTGGGGTTGCCCGTGGGAACACAGCCATATACTATCTGAGCTATGAGGATGTATAAGACCCTCTAAGGGCCTCAGAACTGGGCCAGGCTGAGATCAGGCTCACAGGCAGGGTAGATATCATGCTGTTTTCCTGCATCGCGGTCGGTTTAAAATTTCTCTTATTTGGGACTGCAGATATGGCTAAGTGGTTAAGAATGGATGCCGCTCTTTGTAGCACTTTGGAGTTTGGTTCCTAGTACATAGGTGGTGGCTCACTACCTCCTGTAACTCCAATTCCAAAGGATCTCATGTCCACTGCTGGCCTCTGCAACCGCTGTACCGTGCAAACTCCCCTGCTCCCATATGCACATAATTAAAAATTATAAAAACTCAAATTAAAAAAATACTGTTACTAATAAAAATAACAATAGGATGATTCATGACTGCCAGCCAAAAAAAATAGCCCATGCTTTCCATTTTCTAGGTCCTTCTTTGTGTGTTGTTCTTTGCGTAGGAACAGCCAGAAGATTGGCTCTAGAAGTTTGTTTGTCTGTTTTTTTTGTTTGTTTGTTTTTTGTTTTTGAGACAGGGTTTCTCTGTGTAGTGTTGGTGCCTGTCCTGGATCTCGCTCTGTAGACCAGGCTGGCCTCCAACTCACAGAGATCCACCTGGCTCTGCCTCCCCGAGTGCTGGGATTAAAGGGCCTCTAGAAGTTTTTGAAGGAACTTTTTTGGCTCCAATTCCAGTTTAAACTAGAAAATTAGAAGAATATTTTTACAGTTCATTCTTGCATTCCCTTTTCTTTTTAAGCCTGGGTACCATTTAATTAAGATTTATGGAGAACTCATACTTCAGGCCTTATGGAAGCTGTAAATGAACTGTCTTTGCAGCATGCACCCTGCCTTTGAATTGGGCAGACTTCTGCCCTTGGCTGTGTGTCCCAGTGATCTGTGATCTGTGCTCCGGCTGCCTGCCTTGTGCAGGGGACTGGAGTAGCAGCCACCTGGCATTCTTCCGTGTGTGTGTGTGTGTGTGTGTGTGTGTGTGTGTGTGTGTGTGTGTGTGTGTGTAGGAGCATAGTGTCTCTGTTTCTTATGGAGCAGAAACTTCTCATCAGTACATTTCTCAGACTGTGCAGAACAGAAGTCTGCTGGGTCTTCTGTGGTTGAGATTCCTGCAGCAGAACACCCTGATGCCAGGTGGAGCCGATGCTTCCATGGGGCCTATAAAGATGCTCCTGGTGTGCTGCCGTTAGTTCTGAGGCCAGCCTCCACACAGAATCACTTCCCACCTATTGTAGAGGGGATTTGAAGATCAAGGTGAACTCCCTGGTTGGTAGAGCCTGGGAATGAGCCATGGGCTTGAAGTTTTCAGGGGCTGTTCTTTTATACAACTTGAGTGATTCTGCACATGGGTGGTTGCATTGTATTCTTTGTAAAGGTGACACTCGCAAGTGACTTGGGGTTTAGGATCATCTTTCCAGGCATTTTTGTCTGAGGTTCACAGAGCTGAGTGTAGCATGTGCTTTCAGTCTCTTTGTGTCTGAAACCTGGCTCAGTGTCGCTTGCTGTGTTAGGGCCACCAATGGAACCTCAAGTATGTGCAGTCCCGGCCTTGTCTGTGCAGGTAGGTGGCGTCGAGCTGCAGGTGCACCCAGGCCCTGGAGCCTGGCTTCTGCGTGCCTCCCACTCCTGACAGCTGCTTAATCTTATTTACTCTCCTAGAGCTTCTGATCTTCCTAAACAAGCAATAACAATATGAAGGTCCATAACTCCACACCCCAGTCCAGCGTATGTGCCTGTCTCTACCTGCCTTCTGTCTGAAGATGTGGTCTATTTACAGCTTGTGTGTAGGATTCCTACCCCCCAGAGCTTCCCTCCCCCGAGTTCTACTTTAAGATGTGGTTGGGCTCTTCCAGGTTGCACTGCACTTTAGTTTGCTCCATCCCTGTCTCCTCTTCTCCGCGTGCTTGCCCTACAGTGCAGTTCAATTGAGAAGGGAGCCCAGGCTAAGCATGCTCTCGGAGCTGTGTTCTCGGGGCTCTGTGAGCATTTGGCACAGCACCCCATACCTTTCAGCCCCATTCCCAACATGTCAGCCCATCCCAATATTTCCAAAAATGACAGCAGCTGTTGAGTGTGACCAAGTGTCCAGCTGTACCCAGGGGCCATGAGACACATGCTCAGGACTAGTCTCTCCTGAACTGCTGTATGAATAGGCTCAATAGCTACCAGAAAGGCGGATGGTGGCTCAAGCCTTGAATCCTAGGTGCCTAAACGGCTTAGGTTTCTAGCCATCAGCAGCCCCCTTGCTGTGGAATGCCTGTGATTCCACAGTGCAGAGAGTCCAGGGAAATGGGGGAGGCTTACAGGGGAGATGTGCTGACTGTGAACTCCAGCTTATTTTTGGAAGATCTTGCTATGACACGCCCTGTGTGGCCAAAGCAATTACAGCTGCCAGTCAGCAGATCGTGGCTCATGAATCTCCATGTACAGCTGCCAGGGCCCTAATTAATAACAGCAGCAGGGGCTTCAGCTTTTCTGCCCACGTTGTTTGCATGACATTCCATGTGTGGTGCATGCGAGTTAGGCCCAAGGGATCCAAGGTCCTGACAGTTATCAGATGCCTGTGTTACCCAAGGATCTTGTGCTGTATCCACAGGCCCTGAGCCAGCCCAGTGCTGTCCCTTTCCATTCAGCTTTGTATTTCGATTTTAGCACATCCCAGAGTGTTGATAGGGTGTCAGGCTTCCCAGTGACATAGTGGATTGACTGATAGTTGGCACCCTGCATGCTCAAAAGATGTTAGATGTATGGATGGAAGTATAGATGAGCAGTTGATTCTTGGTGATTCATGAGCTGAGCTGGGCTTCACATTCAAAATAATGACATTAGTGAATCAAAGAGTGAGAAACCACCAAGCTTCTCTATAGATATGTATATTGTTGGTTGTTTTTTGTTTTTTTTGGGGGGGCACCACCCAGCTCCCAAATAAATCATACATGGAGGCTTATTCTTAATTATAAATGCCCAGTCTTAGCTTGGCTTGTTTCTTGACAGCTTTCCTTAACTTAAATTAGCCCATTTGTCTTTTGCCTTTGGGCTTTTCTTATTCTCTTACTTCTGTAAATCTTAATCTTACTTCATGGCTTGCTGTGTGTCTGGGTGGCTGGTCCCTGGAGCCCTCTTCCTTCTCTAGCTGCTTCTCTTCCTTTCAGATTCCTTCTTCTATTTATCCTCTCTGCCTGCCACCTCTGTCTATTTTTCTTTCCTGTCTCACTATTGGCTGTTCAGCTCTTTATTAGACCATAGGTGTTTTAGACAGGCACAGTAACACAGCTTCACAGAGTTAAACAAATGCAACATAAACAAGAGTAACACAGCTTAAAATAATACCCTATAGCATTTGTGTGTGTGTGTGTGTGTGTGTGTGTGTGTGTGTGTGTGTGTTATCCTGCATGGGTAGGTCAACATGAAGCTGGAGTATAGCTCATTTGGTAAAGCATTTAGTAGCATTCATGAGACCCTGGGTTCCATCCTCAGCGTGACAGAAAAAAAACAAAGTTGAAAAGGCCAAAACGATTTTATTCGAATATGTTTGATATATGCATCCTTTTTATTGATGCTCACTCTACAGAGGAGAGGTGGAGTTTGGGGACCCCCTGTTGAGCCCGCACCTGTTTACTGTTGAGGTGCATTGTAGAATCGCTCCTCTGTTTACATAACTGTACGCCCACTGTGGTAGGTGCTGTTCTCTTTGCTCCCTGGCTTATGGCCTGTCTCTCGCTTTCCCTACAGTGCTACACACACAGGGCCCAGTGGATGGAAGCCTGTATGCCAAGGTGAGGAAAAAGAGTGCCTCGGATTCTGGCATCCCTGGCAGCCCTCAGGGCATGCCAGCCACCAGCAGTCCAGACCACGGTGACCACACCCTGTCAGTCAGCAGCGACTCGGGTCACTCTACCGCCTCCGCCAGGACTGATAAGACAGAAGAGCGCCCAACCCCAGGAGCACAGAGGGGCCTGAGCCCTCAGGAGAAGGCTGAGCTGGACCAGCTACTCAGTGGATTTGGCCTGGAAGAGACTTCGAGCTCCCACAAAGACATGACTGATGTGCGCAGCAAGTATAGTGGGACGCGCCACGTGGTGCCGGCCCAGGTCCATGTGAATGGAGACGCTGCCCTAAAGGACCGAGAGACTGACATTCTAGATGATGAGATGCCCCACCATGATCTGCACAGTGTGGACAGTCTGGGTACCCTCTCCTCCTCTGAAGGGCCACAGTCAGCACACCTGGGCCCCTTCGCCTGCCTCAAGAGCAGCCAGAACTCCCTCCTGTCCGATGGCTTTGGCAATGGTGTTGGTGAAGATCACCATGGCGCCCTTTCTCCAGACCTAGGCCTCGGTGTGGACTCCCTTTATGACCGGGAGCGGATGTGTGGGGCCCGAGAGCCAAAACCGCTGCAGCCCCTGCTGAGGAAGCCCTCTGCACCCACCCCTCCACAGGCCTATGGGCAAAGCAACTATTCTACCCAGACCTGGGTGCGTCAGCAGCAGATGGTGGCTGCTCACCAGTACAGCTTTGCCCCGGATGGGGAGGCCAGGCTGGGCGGCCACAGTACAATGGACAGTGCCAGCCTTGCCCAGCCCCAACCCCACATCCCAGTCACTCCCACTCGTGCAGCCAGCAGCAGAGTGGCCATTCAAAGAGGCCCACTCAGCAATGGGCCAAATGCCCATGACACACAGCCACTCTGTCCGGGTAAAGCACTCCAGCCCAGATTTGCAGAGGACAAAGCCATGAATGGAGTCCATCAGGATCTGAACACGGGTCATTCCCCAGGCTCTCCCACTCTGGATATTGACCAGTCCATTGAGCAACTTAACAGGCTGATCCTGGAGCTGGACCCCACCTTTGAGCCCATCCCCACACACATGAATGCCCTGGGCGTCTCAGCCAATGGCTCTGTGTGTCCTGATGGCGTGGGAAGTGGGCTCCGGTGTGGCGGCAGGCTGGACCCTGTGGAAGTCCCTGGCCGGAGCCCTGGCCGACAAGGTGAGCGGATGGGATGCTGATGTCAGGTAGGAAGTTGTCCAGGTGGGAATTTGGATTTGCTGAAACTTATTTCCTTGGCAGTTTCTACTCTAATGAGCCATGACCTAGAATCCCAGTGGTACCTTGGTACGGTGGGAGCTGGGTAGCAGATCTGAATGGTGGGAAGAAAGAGGTGCAAAGCTTGCCTATAAAGATGGCTGAGGGCCGGGATTGGGCCCCTTGAAGAGGGATGTCGATGTCTTATTTCACACACTTTGTCACATCTCTTGCGGAGTGCAGCTGGCCATCTGAGAGCACCAGGTAGCCTGATCCATATTCCTCTGCCACCTGCTGGCTGTGTGGTTCAGAACCTTTGCATAGATTCTCTGATCCTCAGTTTCCACATCTGAAGAATAAGCAACAATGAAACTTTTCTCAGTTCAGGAATGTTCCTTTAGGAAGAGGGTCAGGCCTCTCAGTGAGTTAGAAGAATGGATGGGCTCTGGAGTCATCCTTGCAGGAACAAGAGGTCTGATCAAGCAGTCAGGGTATGTAAACTGTCATATTTACACATAAGGGTCCAAGTTCCTGAGACACCATGTAGGCTGTTCATAGATGGTAGCAGCCACCATGTGTTAGAGAGAAGTTTGGCTGTAGAGGGCTGAGGGAGACAGGCACACAGGGCAGAAAGCGGAGAGTGTTGCGTGGCCCCAGAGAAGCTCAGGGAGAGCAGATCCAGGTTCTCGGGTTCAGAGAACCATGATCTAGAGCCAAGACCGTGGGCCTAGGCCCAGCAAGGGTGACAGCCTGGGTGTAAGGACCATCTATGTGCTGTACCCTCTGAAGCAGATGAGCGCTGGCCAACTGCCGTGAGAGAGAACGGTGTGGGCCTTTCTACCTGAGAACCAGGGGAGCTAGACAACAGGGCAGGGCCTTTCTGGGAAGGCCAAGGTTGGTGGTAGTGGACAGTGGCCTCTGGCCAAGTCTGTGGGAGGGTTTCTTGCAGACTGCATCAGTCTGATGAGGCTTGCGTTAGGATCAAGTTACAGTCTGATGTCCCCAGTGTGAACATGAGCTAAGAGGGTTTGAGAGCTGGTGGAGTTCCTTTGTCTTTGGATGAAAAGGCAAGCCAAAGTGTGTGACATGGGCGGCGGTGCATCCTGAGAAGGGGTCTGGGAGATAACGGAAGGGACAAGCTTTGGTCTGGAATCTACACAAGGTTATCCCTGGAGGAGGCTGACCAAGGTGTGGTCTCTATGCGAGGGTGATGAAGTGGCTGCAGGAGGTGGCAGGTAAGATGAGTCATGGGTGTTATTAGGAGCCAGGGCCAGGAGGGCAAGAAAGACGATACAAAAGGCTCTCAACCATTTTTTCCTCTCATGAGTACTTCTCTGTGCTTCTCAGAGAGTCCGTGAGCATCCCCTTAGTTTGTGTGCTAATGATGTTGATGCTAGAAGCCCCTGAGTGTGCTGAATCTTGCTTTGGGGTCCTAGCAGAATGGCTTTATTCATCTTCCAAGGACTCTTGCTACAAGAGCCTGTCCCCACCTTGCTGTGACGTTTGTGGAGGTTAGTAGGTAATGACAGGTCCTGAGTTCACATGGACCCTGTGGTATAGACCCATGGTCTCTGCCCTCTTCGGATGATTGCAGCCTAGCTGATGTCTGGATCCCTCTTCAGGCAGGAGTAGAACCTTGCAGTGTGGATCCTAGCTAACATCAGAGTTGCATGGGCTGCCAGCTAACTGGCATGCTGCCATTATTAAAGGACAGGGCTACTGTGACTTTTCAATCACGCTGTCTGTAGGAAGCAAACACTATCCCAGTGTCTGATGACGAGGTATGAAGAAAAGCCAGGTTATATTTCCTGTCCCATGCTGGGATCCATCACTGGACACATAGCAGAATATTCTAGTTGTTTGGAGTGGCTGGTAGGTATGTGTCACACCTGGGGGGGGGGTGAAAAGAGTGAAGGCTTCTTCCATGGGACAGCTCTGAGGCTATGGTACAGCCATTAACAACCCCAGGCCCCATGACATAAAGAATAGCAGTGACTAAGGTCAGTTCTCGTAGGTGCGTGAGCTCATTGAATTTAATACTTTCAGGAAAATCAGAGTTCTAAGGTTTGAGTGGAAACCAAACTCTGTACGACATTTGTTTAACAATTGTTCTTGGGAGATGGTATTTGGGAAGGTGAAATCAAAAGCTTTCCCTCAGGAACAAAATGTCTCCTGAGGTTTAGAAAAATTTGCAGCTTTTGTGTGGTATATACGGGCAGACACAGGACACAGGCTCAGGTGACTATTTTCTTGTTGACTGGTACAGGGCCAGGGACTGGAGAGCATCACTTTGTGGCTTCCACCCTCACACTGGCCATTATTAAATTACTGAAGAAATGGGTCATGTTACTAACTGGAGTTTTATTTTAATCTTCGATCCTCTTTAGTTCCTTTTCTTATAAACATAAGTATAATTTTCAAACTAAATAACTTTCCTACTTAAACAATGGATTAGTAATTTATTAATCTATCTATGACAATCCTTTGGAACCATAGTGGTGTCATATTATCTATCTATCTATCTATCTATCTATCTATCTATCTATCTATCTATCTATCTATATCACACACACACACAAAGCATACAGACATACACACATATGTATGTGTGTGTGTGTATCCCATGTATGTGTATGTATGTATATATATCTCAAAACTGAGACTTGACCCTGAAGGTGTTTTTGAAATTTAGAATCCTATTGCAAATGGGATGCTGTCCCCCAGCAGCAGCAGTGAGCACAGAAGGGAAGCTCAGCATGAGGACAGGGCTGAGCTGGTGACACCCTTCCTGTAGCCAGCTCTTCCTCCAAGACAGGCTTCCTGTGTCAGGTCAGTACTCAGCTCCCAAATGCAGCCAGCCTGAGTCTTGTACTCTGCTTCATATAGGAAGCCTGGGTGTGGTGCTGGCAGCCACCACACAGCCCGCACAGCAGGCTCTGGCATCTCAATTCAGGATATCTTGTTTTGATGAAATCCCATCAAAAGAATACTGATGTACTTACTCCACCTAGGTGAGGAAGGGGGCAGTCTTTCCTCCCTGGCAGGTAGAGAGAATTCTAGGACCCTGATATTCTTAAATTTTGTAATTGAATTTAAAAGTTTCATTTATTTTTACATTTTTTACGTGTGTAGGTATTTTGCATGCCAGTGTGTCTGTGCGCCACTTGCAGATCTGGTAACTGCAGAGTTCAGAAGACGATGTCAGACCCTCTGGAACTGGAGCTATAGAAGATTGTTAGTCACTGTGTGGGTGCTGGGAATCAAACGCAGGTCCTCTGGAAGAGCAGGTGGTGCTTTTAACCACTGAGCCACCTCTAGCTCCTGGTCTTAAGATTTAAATTTCAGTGATCCTGTTTCCATCTCTGAATGGAAAAGTTTAGTAATAAGTGACGTAAAACAATATCCAGACATCAGCAGATAAATTCAGAAAAGTACCAATGGCTAAGCAGCTGGTTTTGAACCCCTGGAAGTTCTGTGGTGTTATAAAACCCTCTCTCTACTTTAAACAATTCCCAGGTCTGTTTGCCCAGGCCTGTTTCCTCCGTCAGTTGAGTGGGGAGGGGAGTGAGGGCTGCTGAGCTAGGGTCCTCTGTGCAGGGCTGTCAGTTGGAGTGTGCTGAGTAGGAAGGACCCAGTGAGGCTGCAAAGCTTCATGTCGTCCCCAGGACATTGCTGTGCATGAAACCTGGCCCCATTATGGATGTGGAATTGCCTGCTGACGGCCTTTCTCAGTCTTGTACACACGTGGAGATTCTGGGCTGTGAAATTCCCAGAATTCTGTTTCTTCCCCATGCTCTCCTCCTCCTCCTCTCTGGCCCACCTTCCATCCTGATCTCGATGCCAGCTCCTACTGAGCTCTCAATTCTGGCTAGAGATTCAGATCCACTCTAGGATACTGGCTGGGGCTTTAGCATTCCCAAGTCAGTAAGATCCTTCACTTTCCAGGTCACGTTTTGAATTGGAGAAAGCTGCCATCTTGTAGTAAGGAGTTGAGAGCAACGACTCTGCCGGAACTCCTCCTGAGGATTGTAGTATTCCCGCAGAACTGTGTAGCTCGACTCACACCAGCTCTGAAGGCAGCGAGCGGCAGGCAGTCTGCCCCCTCTGTGGGTGGGTCTGGTTATTTCTGAAAAGAGACCACATTTGAAGGCTGAGTGCATCTGAGGTGTTTCTCTCAGAGTGCGGTAGAAATAATGGTACTTCCATGGCTGCAGCTAGTGCAGGTGATGGATACAGTGATGGTGCTGATGGAAAACATAGTAGTTCGGATCTTACATGCCTTCCAAAGGTCCACGTGATAAATACTTGCTCCCTGAAGGTGCCATTGGGATACGGTGGAAACTTTAAACAGCGGGGCCTAGCAGGTCTTTAGGTGGTTGAGGGTGTGCCTTTGAAGAGAATAGTAGAAGTCCTGTCCTTCTTTTTCTCTTCTCCTTTGCTCTCTGGCTGTGAATAATGATTTGACTTTGCTATGCTCCTCTACTGTGATAGCTTTAGGACCGAAGCAATAGAGCCAACTGATTATAGACTGAAGTCTATAAAGTCCTGTGCCAAAATGAACCTTTGTACTTATTCTTTCCAGTGTAGTTATCGCTGCTATTTGTTGGCGATGAAAGCTAACATGGGATTTTTGGTCTAGCTAGAAATTCATTCTGCTGGACTTTCTTTTCTAGAAGTATTCTTTTGTTGTTGCTGGTTGGTTTGGGGATGTTTGTTTGGTAATTTTTGTGGAATTTCCTCCATAGAGAGTCATGCCATTTGTAAGAAGAGGCAGAAATGATGGTGGTGGTGATGGTGGTGGTGTTGATGGTGATGATGATGGTGGTGATGGTGATGATGGTGGTGGTAATGGTGATGGTAGTGGTAGTGATGATGATGGTGCTGGTGGTGCTGGTGGTAGTGATGGTGGTGATGGTGATGATGGTGGTGGTAGTGATGGTGATGGTGGTGGTAGTGATGGTGAT